ATATGGCATGTGTATTTAGGGAAGAATTGCCGTTGGAGCAGATGCGGATTTGGTTTTATGGAAATTAACCATGGTGCATCAAGCGTGCACTCTAAATCAGCATCCGTCGCTTTTCAAAATGTCGACTGCCCACTCGAAACCTGTAATGACCATTTGTGGTGGACGAATTGCTTACAGCAATGGAAAGGTTAGGATTTCTGGATTTTTATTTTTCCCAATAATGTTGAAGAGCTCTAAATGTCTTTAATCGTTTATTCTTACAATATTTGTTTTATCTCTTCGAGAATTTCCAGAAATGAATTTAATCAGATTCATTACAACTATATTCGGCCATTCACTTCAGCATGTTTAATTATATGCAGAAGAGGAATATAAAGTTTCTGGATTCTCTTTATTTATTCGCTGACCAAGTTCTTGAATATTACATATAATGAAATGAAAAGTGGTATAAAAAAATGAAAACTATTTCAAATTTTAGTTTTTGCTTTCTGTTGATTAATTAATTTAATCAGTTTTCAGTTCGACATAGAACGAGGTAACTTGATGGGGCTTGGATCGCATTCTCCCTATTTATACTGTATGTTGGAGCAGTTGGAAGGGGTTAGTTCATATTAATTACAAATTTATGGAAGTTTTAATACTTATTTCATTGATTAATCATTTTGAGAAGCAAGCTAATTTAGGTGCAACTTAATGGTGGCATGAATGACAGTATAGCATCGTACAGCAATCATTCAAATCTTAAAGAGAATTGGAGTAATAGTAGCCGATCATTTCCTGTGAAAAGCGTACAAAAGCAACAGTTCGATTCAGTTTATTCCGGTTTATTTCACCCCTTTTTTATTTAAAAATTTCAATTTTAAGCACTTTAGAAACTGAAAAAATTTTCTTCACTTAACACTATACTTTTTCATGTTTCATTGAGCTTATCATTTCATTTGGTATTGTTTGCAGCAGCTCTCGAAGACACACGTGGTATGCGTGCATCCACAAAAGTACTGAATCCACCAGGTGGACGTTCTACGGGATTCTGGTGATACATTTAATCCAGAAAAGTTCGCCGACTTCAAAATATACCACGCTAATCTGATGAATTTGATTGTATTTTGTAACTTTTCGTGGATAATTATTTATTTTGACGTTGTAAAAATCCAACCTATGTGTAATTTTAGTCATTTTTAAAATTTCTCAGTAGAAAAGTTTTTGTTACATTTAGAACTTCTAAATTATGTTAAGTCATTCCTCTTTTATTATTTTATTGTGCAAAATGACAAATTAGTAGTTATTGGCAAATAAAATTGTTTTAAATACCTGTACATCCGAGAAAAGCATTATAGGTTTGAGTATTTAATATGGTGGTTCCAATACTAACTCATCTATTTTTACTTCGGCTATTATTATTATTATTATTATTGCTATTATTAGATCTCATCAATCAACTCATTCCTTCAACTTTTTATAAATAACCAGAACGCCATGCGTTATCATTTAGGGACGTATGTAAATGTTATTTGTTAATTTTTCACTAAATTTTTATTCTTTAATCAAACAAAACATTTATATTCCAGATCATTTTGAATTTCACACTTTTTTCTTTTCATTTCCCATTTTCCAGTAATTCCCTATAGATGAATTTAATTTTTTCCTGTACTCTACATGTCAAAAAATAAAATTGTAAATTGTTAATTAAAAAGAAACCTATTCCCTTTGTTGGGAATTCTGATCACTTTTATGTTTTTGAAATAAAAGTTCTATCATGTTTAAAATATGCATTTATATCATAATTTCTTGGTTCAATGAAACGAGAATGACAAAGTTTTCTGGTGGAGACTAGTTGAGCGGTAATAAATGACAATTGACGGGAAAATAGAAGTTCTAAAAGGCATTAATTAAACTTATGGAAATTTAATAGAAGTTGAATGCTTGTTGTGCGAAGTTTCAAATCTTTCTTATTCATGCAGAAAAATCTGTAAGTTCGATGAATAATTCCACCGTTCTCATTTTGTCGTTTCTTTTTCTCCATTTTTGATTCTGTAATAACTGGAAATTTAAAAATTAGATTATTAAAATAGCGCCCATATTAAAATAGTTCTGCTAATAATTTGACTTCAAATATTTATGTTAATTAATAGTTTTAAATTTAGTTCTTGCCAATTTACAAATAACATTTTCTTGGATACATTTTCATTACTATTGAATTTTTGTTACAAATAATCATATTGTTACTTCTTATTCTAACGTTATCACTTTTAACTCGTCATTTTATGCTACCATTATTTACATCTTTTGCTATAAAATCAGCACTTCTTATTTAATCATTATCTTACTTTCATTTATAAAATTTCATTTTACAATTAATTAGTTTGTTGTTATTCGAACAAATATCTGAAAACGCTATTTCATTTGTTATTACAAAATTAACAGAAGTGCTTTGTACTTTAAGCTGTAAAAAGGAACTATTTTTTTGCAAGGGAAAAAGTTTTTTTAATTTAAACTACCACAGATATTTTCTTTTTTTTTACTAATTAAAGTACTTCGGTGGCATTAAAGGGGGAGAAGATTATTACACACTTTTACACTATTATTGCTATTGTAATGGGAATTAAAAAAAAACATGTGAGAGAGACTGGCTTAAGAATTTATTTAAAATTTTTTTTTTTTTACGAAGTTATTTGAAACTAAAAAAAAATTTTTTTTTAAAAGTAAAGTTTACCGTTTTCCATCTTTGAAATTGATCAAATTCTTATTCTGCGTATTCATGTCCCATTTTGTGTTATGTTTCATTCTATTCGTATTTTACACCTTTTAAATTATCTCACATCAATTTAAGATGACTTTTATAATCCTCCTTGTTCTTATTTTTCTCTCCCTTCTTTCTCCCTCTCTCTTTCATCAACTAATTAAAAATTGTGTAATTGTTCGAAGCTACAGTTTTTAAACTCCAATCCATCTATTTAAATTTAGTTTAACTATGCATCATAATTAATTCCTTCCTTTTGTATTCGAGAATTTTTGCTAATCGGTTAATTTGCAAAATAGTAGTTGCACAGCGATTTCTTCCAGTCTTTTTTTTTAGTTATTAAGTTTTAAATTTAATTGAATTATGACAAAGATCTCTTTTCATTTATCTTTCCAAGAAAACTTAGAGTAATTGCTCAGTTTAACAATCTCTTTCATTTTTTTTCTCTTCTTTTTCTTTTACACATACTAATATATATTGGTATAATATCATAACAATTCAGCACTTTTTTCATTTCAATAATTTTTATCATAAATTTTTATTCTAAAGATACTATGAATTGAATGTTATGAAACAATAATTTTTCTCATATTTACTTTTGTAATAAGAAATCATATTACTAGATGGATGTAATCGGATTAATTTCCTGGAACTTTGCTAATTTCTCGCAATCCTTAACAATTACTCTAATGTTAGTTTAAATTCTATGTTAAAATTTTTTTTTAAATTCTATATGATGTATTTTTATAATGTTGTATGATAAGAAATTTTGTTTTTAAAATAATTTTACATGAGTCATATGATTCAGTATGGTGTAAGAATGATTGAAGTATAACAGGGAGACGCTTTATCGATGCTTCTCTTTGCTATATACATATTTAGCAGAAAAGAAAATATATACATATTTATTTATCCATTCATTTATCATTAAAAATTAGCAATATTAGGAGGGAAAAGCGAAGGAAACATTTTAGACTTCAAGAGTTATACTTAATATCATTAGATTAGATAATGTGGTTATATTTATTGGATGATAGTTTCGATATTTTATTGATATGTTATAGGTAAATATAAGAAGGGATTGATAATGTAATAAACAATTTGCTATTGTATGAAAAATTTGATAGTATCCCAACTCCAACAACAATAACAATAATTCAACTTACTAATTGGTTTCCCAAGTGTTATTATGATTGATGTTGCATTCACTTAAATATTTACATGTTTAATTCAATTAAGCATTGATCACCGGAATGGAAATTTCTAAACAATTTTGAAAATCTCAAGAATTGGTGGTGAATGAATAGGAAAGATTTTATCTAAGACGTTTCAAATTTCTTATTTGTTCTATCACTATCGATGTTAACAAGTATGTTGAAACGTTAAATAATTGACTATATAATTACTGCCACAGTCTTATATTTTTGATCAAAGCTTTAACTTTGCTTGAAATTAAATAAATTTAGTGCGACCAATGATCTTTTAATTTTGTGCCACCGAGAAACGAAACAATCGCACATTCATTGTAATCGTTAACCTTTGGTTTTTGGGATACCTGAAGTTTCGGTTCTTTCTTCTTTTTTCGTTTTGGCTTTTTTTTGTGGCTATAAATGAACGAATTATTCAAGAGAGTATAGGAAGGTAGCGGAGGAGAAGAAAGGAGAAAGAAAAAGAAAATGGTTAGCTTCTTGGAAGTTTGACAAGCAATAGGGATCAAAGTCCACAGTACGTCGGGTCAGTCATCGTACTAATCCTTGACGTCTCGTCATTTGCTTTGAGGATGGACAATTGAATGTCAATCGAGCATTGAAATGTAACAGATTTCTTCACATCTCTCTTATTGTTTACATCGTATAACTGCTCGTTTCTTTTTTTTTTTTTTTTTTTTTCTTTTTTTCACTTTCTTCATCATCTGTTGTTGATGTATTCATTTTTTTTTTCCTGCTTGCTTCAACCGCCATTATTGCCATATGAATCAGTATAGTTTTTTTTTTCTTTGAATATTACAAACATAGGTATATATTTATATGTAAAAGTCATTTGCCACGTTTTCACGTTATTTCGTTCTTTTCTTTTTTCTGAGGTATTATGAAGAAATAGGAAACACAACAATAGTAAATGTTTGCTGATGATACATACATATATATATATATATATAATTATTAAGCTGATTAATCGTTTGTCTGTTTTTAACTGAAGCGAAATAATATAGGAGAAAGATTTAGGTGAAATTCAGATTTCATTTCCATATTCTCTCTAAATGGCTCGATGGGAATATTGGCCTTATTATGGGTTGGAAAATTACCTTTATACTATGCCATTTGAAGCGAAATTCAATATGATGGAATCAACCAAATGGATGCAAGAAAACTGGTTCCATAGCATAACATCCTCCATTGCATATGTCATTTCTATTTATATTGGACAAAAGGTACATTTTTTATATTTTTCAAGGTTTGAAATGTAATTCCAAAATTGATGAGATTTCAGGCTCTCTTTTCTTTTATTCTTCCAAAATTTAGTCGTGGTAGTAAGCTTTATGACTTTTTCTTTATCATCGCTCAGTCGGATTCGAAATACGCTCACACTAAACAACTGAATAACTGGATCCAGAATGCTTGCTTATCTTGAAGAGATCTAGAACTAGACTTGCAATGAATGTGGATTCTCCTGTATTTTCAAGCTGTATATTGCCTTGTAAATTAACTTCCTATTTCTTGTTAATCAGGGAATGTTCACAGCGTTGATTGGTTAATTATTAATTGTGGTCTGTTACAGCTGATGGAATCACGCAAACCGTTTTGCCTAGATAATCTACTGATAGCATGGAATTTCGGTTTAGCATTATTTTCCCTATTAGGCGTGTGTCGAATGACACCAGAATTATTGTGGAGTGTTCGAGAGAATTCTTTCGAATATTCGATATGCACAGCTTCATTTGCACAAGGTGTTACAGGATTTTGGACCGAAATGTTTGCTTTGTCCAAAGTATGAGTTTTATAAGTTTTGGTATTATATAGTTAGATGAATAGGTTTGATGACAAAACAGTTTTAGTAAGCAAAAAATTAAAAAAAAAACTTTCTGTTTTCCGTCTCATTGGTAATCATAAACTGTGTTTTTGTTATACCCATTAATTATGGTCAAAAATTCTTTTTCTGCACGAACAGCTCACGGGAATTGTCTTTTGCTTACAGCTATGGAAGTAAATTTAGTAAACAATTCATGTTACGGTTGATGGAACATGATTATAGTGTAAATAATGTACAACGGAATTTGTTTCTTGTATGCTTGAATGGTTTATTTTTGTTGGGGATAATGAATATTTCCATCATTTTAGGTTGCTGAATTTGGTGACACAGTATTTATTGTGCTGCGCAAACGTCCGTTACTTTTTCTTCACTGGTACCATCACGTTACCGTGCTTGTTTACACGTGGCATGCTTACAAAGTAGGTCTCTTTGTCAATTATTTTTCTATTCAACTTTTATGAGTTTTACTTTCTCTTAGTGATTACCTCCCTTTTATCATTTGTTATTTAAATACATCACTTATCTTCATTGCATTTATTATAAAAAACAGCATTTCGTCTCAGTGCTTGGGAATGTATAACGTTGTGTTTTGAAATATAAAATTTAGTATATCTTTTGGCACTTTGTCAGATAGCTACTAACATCTTTGATGATGAAAAGGAAGTACCATTTCACGCATTTCACTCACATGCACAATTTACAAAATTTTGTTTTCTAAGACAATGAAAACCGTTGCAAATTGTTACGAAATTTAATGGACCTTTTTTTCAAAGACTGTTAAATACATGAATAAATTTATTCTCATGTTATTCCAGGATCATACGGCTTCAGGACGATGGTTTATATGGATGAATTACACTGTGCATGCATTTATGTACACCTACTATGCGCTTCGGGCAATGCGTAAACGGCTTCCAAAAATGGCAGCAATGATGGTTACAATTTTGCAGATCTTACAGATGGTTGGAGGAGTTTTTATCGGTTAATTTTGAGGACTTGATTTTTTGACAGCAATAATCATTCCAGAAATCATTCCTTATTTGCTGGTCATTAAATTTACAATCTTAAGTGAGAAAAAATTGGACTGTTGTGACATTTGAGGATAGTGAATTGTTAACAAAGATTCTACTACATTTTCTGAATCATTTCTATTTACTTATCTTTTATCTATCTTGTATACCTCATTAAGAATGATATCATCTGGAGCAGTTATCTCAGTTAAGTTAAATTGTGGTTCTGAAACAATATTTCTTATGTTCGTTCCAGGAATAAACATTTTGCGAATAAAGCTTTCTGGACGTGCTTGTCAGCAAACCTGGAGCAATCTGTATTTCTCATTTACCATTTACTTTTCGTATTTTCTGCTCTTCTGCAATTTCTTCTACTGCACTTATTTGAAAAAAGTACTTTTTTTTTTCTTTTTGGAGATTCCTCATTTAAAAACGTTGTTTTAAAAAATCTACTCTTGTTTACTGAATATATATTAAATATCAAAGTTGAAGATAGAGGGTTATTCATCTCAGTATTCTCATTAACGGTACAAATTCTTGTTTGGTAAAAACTAATGTACTTGCAATTGGCAGCCTCACTTTACCTAACGGTATATTGATTTAACTTATAAAAAATATTGGAAAGTTTATTTTCTATTACACTATATTGAAATTTCATCTAAAAGTTGCATCAGTTTGATCAAACCATTCATTTTTCCACTCATCTATAGCTAATCAATAAAACTATATGATTTCAGGGGAATAGATATCATGCGGTACTCGCCGGTGGAATCCGTAACAAAATTCAAAAGGATGGAATCATGGAAGAACCATCAGAAGATAAAAATGAAGAAAACGATGTCGCTGGGAAGGTCAGGAATCATTTAAAGAGGAGGGTAGTGAAATAAAATTGTGGTGAAAACGAAAAAAAAGATTGACTGTTTCTTATTTGCGTTATTCCATAGCATATTTATTCCATGCTGCGAATTTTATACTTGCAGAAAGGAAAAAATACCAATGAAATCCACGGGAATAGTTTATGTTTTCTAGGGGCAGTTTTTTGAACTTGTTTTATTTTACTATTTTTTGCGTCTAGATTTTTCCTATGTATTTGTTAGTTATTTCATTCTAATGTTTTTAAGTTATATTGTTGTTGGGCTGTTGATGATATTTGTTGAATACGTGTAGGTATTATTCAGCTTGATTGTAACGTGGCATGATTTATTTGATTCAGATTCGTGTAAACTTTATTTTTTTAGAAAGAAATTGCAGTTTTGTTGGCATCATCTTTTTTTTTTTTAATGTACGCTCATGTTTTTATTTATAAAATTCACCATTTTGATACCTTAAACATGTCTTTTGTGTATGTCTTTGGATATGTTTTTGTCATTTCTTCTAGCGCATCTATGTTGGCAGTTGTTTACAGTTTACCTAAGAAGGGTATAGATCACTTCATACCTGTTTTATCCCTTAATTTTTTGTGCTGAAAAAATCATTTGCCATTGTTTCGTTCGTTTTTTTTTTTTTTTTCTTTTTTTCTTAAACATTGTTAGTCACTTCTAATAGTCGGTGCATTATCGACAACATACAATCAGCGGGTGAAATTAAACGGGATGATGTAACAGCTGGTATCGTCAAGTCCTTCCGAGGAATTGTACCGATAATACCGATGTGCAATTAAAGTCCTTTGAGATATTCAAGCTTCACAAGTTGAATAGAGATCCTGGCGGTGGTGTTCTAAAGTGGAGGATGTTTTAACTGATTGTTTCGTTTCCTAAATCCAAGATATTCCAATATGCAGTTTTTTTAGAATACATGGTTAAGTTATGGCTTTTTTTTTTCTTTTTTCGAAATTAAACTTGTGGAGAACCTTTTTTTCTGAGAATGCAAAATTTGTTAGATGATATATTTGAGATTGAAATTTGTACGAATTTGATAGTATCTGAACACTGTTGTAAGCCATTAGTTGTTTTAGGATTGCTTTCATTTTTCGATTTCACTGAACAGAGATGTATGCTATTTTTCGAAGTAGTGTTCTTTATTTTTCAGCTTAGTAAAATGGTTATCCTTTATTATCCTCTTCTTTATCCGAAATTGTTTACTTGCCAGTTTCATAAACATTTCGTTTGTTTATTATACAAAATAAAATCCAGAATTGTACAAAAAATCCAATCAGTGAATATAGACTAAGTCTACTGTTATAAGCTATTGATAACGTAGGAATGCTTTTTTATAAGCCCGTTCTTCCAGACAATAACAATGTACGACATTTATCGGACGTATTTTTACTCCACTTATCTGTAAGTGTTAGGGTGATAATATAATCCAGTGCTTGGAACATTTTTTTAAATATCAAGCTTTGTTGCATTTGGATGTCTTCAAAATCTTCACATGGTTCATTAGTAGAGTATTTTGTCTTATAAATTCTAAGATTCGAAATGAATTCTCTAGGAAATTTTATGTGGTAATTTCACATAGTAAAATGTGAAAAAATGATGAAACTAAGTAAATTTACACATTTAGATAAATAAATTTAGTTTACACAAATTGTTTGGTGCACATTTGATGAACTGAATGAATACTTATATTTCGTATATGACCTCATATATCATCTATAATTATCCATGAAGTTTTCAATACGTGCAGTTCGTTTTTTCATCAAACATTGTATAGGGCTGTAGAAACATGGACGTAATCGTTTCAGTGGTCGTTGTTCACCAAAATCTTTCATTGATAAGTAACCATATTTGTCCTTATAAATTGTTTCATCTTTCTTTCTAAAATTTAGTTTTATATTATCAAATTACAGAGGTTTTTCCAATCTTGATGTTATCGATGAATAAACATTGTAATTTGTATTTTTCAAATTTCAAATAATTTTTTGTTTTGGAAAAAAAAAATTGATTTACGGAAAAGTGGAAATGTTAGTATTTTAAGAGTAAAATGTTATTATTTTGAAAAAGGCTTTGTTAAAAATATGATGTGGTAATCTTCGGCTGATATGATGCGCAATTTTAATTTCATCCAAGATTTCTTTGTTCTCTTAAAAAGAATTAGGAGTCAAATTCATTTGATACTAATAGAATTCAAAACAAATTGAGTGCTTAATATTATGCATTATTAATGAATTTAAGTGGATTTGAGAGAAAACACAACGATTTATTGTCAAATTCAATCATTTTTGTTGAAAATAGGAAATTATAAATAATTTCGAAAGTCATTAATGCTAGCAAATAATTCAGTAAAGTAACGTACGACCTAATAGTATATTAATGAAATGAATTTTTTGGCTGAAGATGAACAAGTAAAAGTAATGGTTTTCACACAACATTTAAAATGATTCAAATAAAATTTTACATACTACATCTAATTACATCAGATTAATCAGTTATGCTTCAAATCGATACTTTTTGAATAAAGCTGAAATTTCGGATTAATTTGTGATTTTTGCCAAGCACATTACATTTACCAAAAATTGAAATACTAATATTATATTGTGATTAAGGTTAACTTAGGGTGAACATGATGCAAAAAGAAACATTTTCATTTTATGCAATGTATATACTTGACCTAAAGAACGTAACATTAACTAAGGTAAATAAAACAAGTTAAACAAAGAGTAACGCTTAATATTATATATATATATATATATTAATCTTTCCATCTATATCGAATAATGGTGAGAAATGAGTGTAAAATAAATATAACAAATCAGAGAAAAGCATTGAAGTACCACTCCAAAATCTTGATATTAACTTTAAATTCTTATTTTGATATTTATTAGAACAGAAGAAAAAAAAGCAAAATTACTTGATGATAAATATTAATTTGTTGATAATAATTTAATGTACAATAATTATGTTATTAAAACGACCAAATATTTGTGACACTCTCTTCATAATAAAACTTATATTAAAGATATGGCAAATATAATATCATGATTTCTTACCAATTTTGATTCATGATTTTTTAATGAATAACACTAAGAATGACAAATATTTCTTATCATACTGGTGACTGGTAATCTCCAAGAAATGGAGACAGATAAAGAAATGCAATTCATTTCAAGATAATTTTTTGAAACTGCAAATAATGATTTAATAAGTGGAATTTAAATGATACTAATAAAATTTAATCCACAAAAAAGAAGAAACTGATACAGATGACACTAAGTTTAAATGTATTTAGAATGATCCTTATTTTCTAGAATGAGACTACAATTGAATTTTGTTACTTATAATTTACCAAGCAATTTAGTAATTGGACGTTTTAGTCTATTTCAAGCTTTTTTTAATTGACAGAGTTAAACAATTGCTCAAATTGTTATTCGTATTGAAGTTGCGCAAAATTAGATACTTAATTTTGTTTGAGATATAGTGCTGTGCTCAGCTAGATAAATCCATTACTTTGAAGGTTTATATGTTCGAATAAACTTTCCTTTTTTTTTGCAAAGGTTGTTTTTTTTTCATATCAGTGATCAAAAAATTAATAATAAATGAGCAATATGCCACATGATATGAGTGAAACACCAATGACATATCAATTGACATTTATCGATATCTTACAATGTACTATATTTTACTTGAAAATATATTAAACTTTGATTTGAATCGACATGCATTTCACGTTTATTCCTTGAAATTTTGTTTTATCACTTAAACATTACCTATAATAATCTGCATGGACAGTAAAATTTTCTGGACTCTGTACTATATTGCTCTCGGAAATTTTATTCTAATAAATACAGCAAATTCTCAGTTTACGTAGAATCAGTTGCTGATTCGTCTACTTTAGACCTAGAAATTCCAGTCCAAGATCCAAATCCAAAAAAAAAAAAAAGATCCAATGGATTAACAAGTGGATCATGAGGAACAGTTATAGAATAAGATTAGTGAAATCGCAGAAGTTTGGATGAGAAACTGAATTTATGGCCAAGCCAAACGATAGCTTAACATGGGAGTGAATTGTCTAAGACTATAATAAACATGTAAATGGGAAATAGGTGGAAAATGAAAATTTATAAAACAGTTTTAACGGAAAACATTGCAAATTAGAATGCTTGACAATTTCAAACTAATTTATTTTCTTAAATGTTCTTTGTATTTCTAAATGTGATCCAACAATTGAAAAAAAAAGTGAATAGCATAATCCGGTTAATGTATATCGAGCAGAAAAATTAAAACTAATGTTTAAAATAGGAGAACATAGACAGAACAGTAGCAAACTCTTTATTTCATAGATGTTTCAAAATTATCTTTCTTCACATAACTATAATTTCCTCATGTGATTTACTAAATATGGAGAAAGAGACATCATAAAGTTATTTGCAATAATCTGCATATAGATGGCACTGCAACATAAAGTAAGCAATTTCAAGATAGGACTTTTATCAGGACTAATCAGATATTAAATGGAGTAAGCCCTCAGTCGTGATATGCTTGCAAACTTAATTAGGCATTACTTCCCAATTTTAAGCTTACATTTTCAGCAAATTAATCATTTTCTTTAATTTAAACACTAGTCCAAGCATTAGGTTCGAAATATGTTTTTTATCTTTTAGATATTTAATGTATGCAAATACCACTTCTTTTTTTTAAAAAAATTCAATTTAAACTTACATGGCTGGTGCAGAAAATACACTATCCAGAACATACGAACAGCCAGCCAATGGAAACAATAGCATGCATAATAACGGCCAACGTAACATAATCAGCTACCTTGTAGTTCAACAAAAATCAGCTTACATTAACTTTCCCAAATACGGACACACACACACACACACATACACATACATACATGCAGGCACAACAAACACGCCCATTTCATCCCACTCGTAAATCATATTCTGGGTAACGGAAATGTGTGTACCTCATTAAGAACTTGCAAAACATTATATTATTTCAACAGCCTAAATACACAAACTTTTTCAACAGGAAAAACCTTTAAGGATAACAGAAATAATCATAACGACTTAATAAATTAAATTTGAGGTCATTACAATGAGAATGACAACCGCACAAAGATGAATTCATTCATCTGTCATCGCATCAAGTTTTGGAAGTAAATAATCAATTGCGAGAGTCGTCTTTAGGGTATGCCTTTAATATTCGAATTTCACTTTTTGGTCCATCATAAGCATCTGTATCTACTAGTCCAATCCTTTGTACAGCCTACAAAAAAAGAAGAGAAAGTTATAATTTATAATGAAGAGGGTATTTATAGTTTTTAAATACCCTTTTTTGCTAAAAAGCGCCGAAAAATAATGCAATAATTGCTATTGCTCGCAATGCAGTAGTACTTTTCGTACGTCGACAAAGTAGTACAGAACTAATGGAAACAATTAATTTAATATTCACTCCACTTCCTATATTACTTATGAATCTAATTTCCTTTAAAACAATGGATGAAAAGATTAAAGTGGACATGATATTCCATGATTTAAATGTTGGCATAACTTCGGATCAAAGATTTCTGTTTATGAAAATGTACATAAATGTACATAACAGACTACTAGATGTCACATTAGCCTGCGATGGACTGTTGATCCGCAGAAGCTTAAAACTGATTTTGGATTCCTGTACTGTTGAAACACAAAGTTTCCCAACTTTCATCAAATTTCCCTCATTTGTTATTTGTGATCCTAATAGAAGTCCTACTTCCTTTCAACAGGTGCAAAAAGCTACGCACTGTCGAAATATTTGTCGCAAATGTTCATTTTCTTTTAGAAGAAGCCGCTCTATGAGAAAGATCAGAAGGACATTTGCTAATACACATTGCTTCTTCAGAATTTTTATTGGCCTTATCGTTTATAAATTGGAGATGTCACCCATAATTTGAAGGTATAATGGTAATCCTTTTTTATGGTTTATAATTCTTATAATCCCTTCCAAATATTCCATAAAACAAGTCTGAACTGAAAATGTAAAGTGCCTTCTATCACTTCGCTTTATACTCCATAAATTTATGGCCATAAAAATTTATACCTATACTATTCAGAGACCTTGTAAATGCTGTTCACTACGTATTAGAAGAGCTAAATCTGCATATAAGATTGATTAACAAAGAAGACTGTTAGTCAATCAAGGCATCACGATTTATTCTTTTTACTTTAGTCTAATAGTAGCATAAGTAATACATGAGAACTCCCAAATAAAAGTGATTTAAAATTTCAAACATCGAATTACTGAACAAAAATGAAGTGAAGGAAACAACGTACTCTCATTCCAGCCGCAACTCGTCCAAAAATTGTATGTTTTCCATCCAGGTGTTGTGCTGGTGCTAAAGTTATGAAAAACTGTGAACCATTCGTATTTGGTCCAGTGTTAGCCATAGAAATAATCCCAGCACCACTGTGCTTTAAATTGTCATGGATTTCATCCGGAAATCTATCACCATAGATTGATGCACCACCACGACCTGAAATAAAAATCAGTCCATACATGAGAAAGTGCAACACTTTGCTTATTTCACAGTTTCTGTATTAGAAATAGAACAACAGTTTCTATATTCTTTCACTGTTATCTGGTAAAAAGGCCTTCCACTTCACAAATCTAAATCCATACATCAACATTTTTACTTTTTTTTTTTAAGTTCCAGTAGGAAAAGTAAAAAATTAGGAAAAGAACCGGTTCCAGTAGGATCTCCGCCTTGTATCATGAAATCGGCAATTATCCTATGAAATATGGTTCCATTGTAGTATCCTCGCCGGGCCAGTTCAGCAAAATTTTTACACGTTCTCGGAGCATGGTCCCAATACAGTTCGATACAGATCATTCCCATGCTTAAAATCCAGAACTATTGAAGTAGCTCAGAATCTCAACCAATGTAATTAGTGTTAGTAATTACCTTGTCTCTATTATATTTTAGTCAGTTGTATAGCAATAATGTCTCTAGTCTTTGAGCAATTATATCACTTGCAATATTACCAGTACTCACACTGTTCAGACAGTACACAGATGACAGTAAAATCATAATAATGACATGATGCTGAGCTGACGATAAGATGATGTAGGAAATGTGCCGCTTACCTGACTAACACTGTTAATAATAAAAAAAAGAAGAAAAAACATCCTAAATTACAATAAAACATCGCACAAATAAATATCCATCTTATTTGGCGAGTATTATTATCGCAATGATAAAATGAAGTAAACAATACTATACCAAATATGGGTTTTATTTGTTCTGTTATAAAATGCAATGAATTTCACCTCGTTTCTAAAGCAACAAATGGAGGTCTTGTAGAAGTAGAATGTGACGCTGGCATTGAACTTGTAATTTACTTCAATAATCGATCAATATCTGCAATATCTTAGTTCAAACAAAATACAAACATGTAGTAGAAAAACTACGATAGAAAAGGTGCTAAAAGCTCATCCTAAAAAGCTCAGATTTATACAAGTCATAGAAAAATTCCTGAAAATTTCTATAAATATACTTAACGAATACAAATCATATAAATTAATAAACACAGATTAAAAGTATTGCTGACACAAAATAAAAAATTCGAAATTATCAACTTGGCAACTCGTGCTTCAAAAGTGCACGCAAAAATCCGACAAGGAATTTAATTGTTAAACAAATGTGAAACTCTTCCACAATTCCTTAAAAACAAATCACTTCTTTTATAATCGCTTGCTTAATTTTTCTGTAAACGCTGATACCTAATCACTGATATAATTTCTTTCTTCTTTCTTTCTTTCTTTTTTCTTTTTATTGACCACAATTTGATATGTTCTGGAAATTTAGAAGAATGTAGCTTTGAAAAAATTATGGAACAACCAAAAAGGAAGCAGTGATTTATCAGACATGTAATACAGTTATGAAGTTTTCAGATTACATATCAAGTGAACTTAATTCACGTAAACAGTGCACATGACGTGACACAAACTCCAGGAATCCCTAACGGAAACGAAGAACCCGTCTAATTTAATCTAAAAACCACAAAGGATGACCATGTCATCCGGAAACATCCCTCATATTCTCATTCCAACCTCTTCCAATGTCACTGGCTGCGTTAAATAAGAACAGTTTTTGAAGTATTTTAAATGATTTCGGTAGCGTAGTCGGTGTCATTGTTCAGCTGTGGTGCCTGGTTGAAGGTTGCTTATCACTGGTTTGTATTGTTCTGTATTGAGAAGTTCTGCTACTGAATTTTCTGATTTGCTATTGCCAGTGATAGGAGTGAAGCAGCATAATTAAACTAATATGCGTATGCTGGATTAAATAACAGCTTTTAAATCATTTGAAATGATTTGTTTATCATAATCGATAGCATTGTTTGGTTTTGGTACTTGATAACCGGTTGTCTTGCTGATTATTAGTTTGTGCTTTCCCGTACTAAGGATTTTACTATTGGATTTTCTGGTTTGTTGATTTGTTACTACTGATGATAGCAGTGAAACAACATAATTAAGACAATATGAGTATGCTGCAGCAAATATTAGATCAAGTATGTCTTTTTATTGCTGTTACATCGTAGAAGGCTTTTCTTTCCTCTTCTTTTTTTAGAATTTAAAACTTTGAGGAAAAAAACTCCAAGAAAAAGATTGAATGAAGACTTAGAAAAAGGTAGAAAATTCTAGTTTTGGAGTAAATTTCATGATCATCATCGCTTTACATTTCGAAATCTCCTCTACACTTATTGCAGATGTTTGTGGATCCAGAAATTTTAGAAGCTCTAGACGAGGAACAAAAACAGATATTGTTTATCAAAATGCGCGAGGAACAAGTGAAACGTTGGAAAAATTTTGAGGAGAAGCGTGAGCAAGAGGATAAGCCCCAAAGTAGCAAACCAAGAAATAATTCGCGAAGAGTTAGGTTCGAATTCTGCACTTGAGACGGTGGATGGGGTATTGACGGGATTTTAAATTTTAGTTCTATTCATTAGAATGATCCTTTTTCAGATGGTTAAAGGGCGAAGATGGCAAAGATTGGGTTTGGGTTATGGGTGAACATAAGGATGACCTTACCATTGAACAAATTACGGAAAAACGGGCTTATGAGGAAGCACGAGAACTTGCTGAAAAAGAAATGCTGGAAAACCAAGCAGTGCAAGTTGAAGCGGAAGTGCTGGAAAAGTTCTGGTAATCTTTGTTTTTATCCGACATATATGCCTGGATAATTACTGTAATTTTTTCAGTTTAATGGAATTAAATGATGGCAGTGGACCTGTATTTGGGCCATATGAAAATGAGGACACATTGAAACAGCAGTTGAGCCGTATCAAACCGTGGAATAGTGGATCTGGATCATCCTCACGTAACAAAGTACAGGTAGGTATTACAGTGTATTTTTTTTTTTTTAGATTAATACTTATTTGGATCTAGAGGAATTTTGGTATTCCAGAAGGCTAGCTTTGCTGAACTGTTTTGCTATTCTACATACCTACAACTTCTACAGTAGCTGTGAGATCCAGTAACCTACAATTTCATCTCATGAAATTTTGGTTTCTGAATCGGAAAACTACAGTTGCAGGAATCTGTATATGATGATGCAGACTCACTGTTTGGCCTATCATACAATGGTAGTGAACCTTCGCATATTGCTCCTGCTTCAGAATTACCTTACAAAGGGATTCTAAAGAAATCTACTGAAAATTTTTCTTTGAATAACAATAGTAATAAAAAAGATAAACTTTCGATCGACATTGATATTAAGCAGAAAACAAAAGAGAAAGCATGTGGCACTTATTTGTCAACTGACACTGTGAAAGTTAGTAATTCCTTTTTTAAACATTTATGTGCACTTAGTTCTAATGAGAAATTGCAGCAAATTGTGTTTTTATTTTTTCGAAAACCTGAAAGTTTTTTTAGAGCAATGGTTTAGGTGAATTAAGTTTGCCAGATACTTCTACTCTAACATCATTTCGAGTAAACTTTTCCAGTAGCTCGAGTAGTGTGTATCTGTCTTCTGGAAGTGAGGCAGTGAATGTTGCTTGCCTTCTAATTAAGGGATCCATCGTAGATTGGGAAATGTTGACATGCTGGCAGTTATAGTGATTCATATGGAATGTTGAATTTAATCCCAATTTGTTTGATAATTAAAATGACTAATTTCAGACATTCGCCGCAATAGCAAATGCTGCAAAACCTGCTCCACTAGTAGGACTTAGTCATTCAGTTAAACAGTTCACTCCAGCTCAGAAAACAAACTCTGGTCACGCGGTGAAATTCCGACCTGATCTTAGTTCAAGACATGATTTACCGGGTATTTTCATTTTCCATTACACTTTATTGCTGAAATTTAACACTTTTAATTTAAATTAATTGTTGATTACAGATATCAATGATGAAATTACCAAGCGACAGTCAGAAATTTTCGAAAAGATTAAGGAGAAATATCAGCAATTTGACAGAGAAGCAGAACAAGAGGCAAGACGTGTTGAACAAGCTTGGGAAGAACAAGGTCGGTTTAGTTACTTGTAGATAAAGTATATCGTCTTTCTCGAAATATTAATGAACTTCTTGGATTATTTCCCACTGCATATTGTTACGGATGGCAATGTTTTTTCTTTCAGAAAGAAGAGCACGTGAAGCAGAAGCTGAAATTCGACATATTGCGCAACGGGCTCGTGAACAACATCGTCAGCAAACTTTACGTACATCAGCTCCGTTTTTAGCAGTTCTCAAGGATGTGAAAAATACTGCATCTGTACAGGAGATTCTGTAAGTAATGGCTTCATTTTCTTTTTTTTGTTGAGGAATAGTAACAGTAAAGAAATAACCGTCCAATTTTAACCTCTGTTGTCACAATGCTCTCGTAAAGTCCAGCACATTAGGCGCTTTATTTCTGGATTCGTTGTGATTGAATGGCAATTTAACATTTTATTGGTTTTCTTTTATTTTAATTTACTCTTATTTTTTCCTGTTTACACTGTTCCACTGTTACGCAGTAAAGTGTTTAGATCGATTCTTCTCAGTTAAAAAGAACAAATCATGCTAATCAGTTAGCTATCCTTTCATGTCATCTTATTTATTATAAATATAATTAATGATGCTTCCAGGAAGAATTTACCCCGTCCTCCGAAGCCAAAATCTCGTGAAGCAATTATTGATTGGTTCAAATCTGAGGAGCTACGACATGGAACCGGTTTAGACCCATTGACACATCGACCATCTGTTTGGTTCCATGGTTAATTATGCCTTCGTTCTTATCTAAGGAATGAAATTATTCCCAGTGCCTTCAGGTCATCAATTCTGGCTCCCTTCAATCTTTTTAAGGATAATCATATTTAGTTTACAACTTGATGCCTTTATAAAGAATTTTCGTTATAGGAATCATTACACGAAACGCAGCTGATGAACTACTACAGGGAAAACCTTCTGGTTCATTCCTTGTTCGCGTTTCGGAGCGTATTTGGGGTTACACTCTATCGTATATGGTTGGAGATGGTAATATAAAGCATTTCATGATCGAAAAAATACCACAGGGATATCAATTTTTGGGAATTAATCAAGTAGTGCATCAGCGTCTCCATGAGCTTGTTGCATTTCACGAAGTAGTTTATTTTGAACTTTTTATAAATTAAACTTCCAATGGATTCTGATTGATTTCATGTATCCTAAATAAACAATTTGTCCCAGGAGTACTTTTTTGTCACTCATTCTTAATTTCTGTCTATTGATTACTTTTCCTTGACTTCATTTGCATGCGATTGGTTTTTTAAATTGACTCTATGTAAAGAAAATTTTTTGATTGGTTTTTTACATTTTTTTGCATAATTATTAAGATATGAATTGAATATGACGTTTTGCAGATTTCGCCAATAACAAGTAAAGGAAATGAGATATTACGTTGGGCCGTAGGACAAGTGGACACTAATTTGCCGGACTATGCTGATCTTATTCCTGTTCAACGAAACACACTGCGGGCCTAGTTACTGATTTCTTCATTTTGCTTTACTGCCACTGTTTCATTAAAATAAGTGCCTGTGCTTTCATCTCTATCCGTCACAAATTCTGAAATTTAAATTGATCTTAATCTCTAACATGTTCGAGAAACACTATTATAATTGCTCACTCGTCTTTTTGCTGTATATCTAGATCTGTGCCGGATTGCCAAAAGTATTGATGTAATTAAATCATTCATCTGAATTTACCTGTGATGCAATTGTCAATATCTTGTTTATAAGGGTGGAAAGTTGGAAAGCAGTTAGGTGTTGCGATCGATGGTATACAGTCACTTCCCCCGGTTTATGTCGGAGCAGATTGATGAAAAGTTTAAAAGTGATTTTCTGATATCCTACGGTGTCTGCACTTTTAGTTG